AGGGACGGAGTGCGGTAGGGGAAGAGGAAGTAGTAGGGGACCGACTCGTCAAACGTGACGTCCTGGGAGGACAGAATACGGCGAGAGGTGGGGTGGTAGAACTGCCACCCAGGCGCATCAGGGGGGAACCCCAGGAAGACGCAGGGAGCAGCACGAGGGGACAGCTTGTCCGCAGACAAGTCGCGGACAAACGCCCGAGATCCCCAGACCCTGAACGCCGACGCATCGCCAACCTTCCCCGTCGACAGCAAGGCTGGGGAGGTCTCCGGCCTGGAGACTCTGGGGTGTAGGTTGATCTGATGCACCGCGTACCTCAGTGCAAACGGCCACAGAAAATGGGGAGCAGCCGCATGCATCATAGACGTACGGGCGACGTCCATCACCATGCCAATGCGGCGCTCAGCAATCCCATTTTGCTGCGGGGAGTCCGGAAGCGTGAAGGTCTGACGGATGCCTCGTGCGCGACAGTAGGCTCGCAGAAGTCCAGAGGAGAACTCTCCGCCTCTGTCCGAGTGCAGACGCAGAACAAGAAAGTCCGAGCCAAAGCTCGGCCTGAGCTGTGACATCACCCTTGCTGCGCAAGGGGAAGACTGTGGTGTAACGCGAGTAGTCGTCAACAACGAGCAGGAAGTAGCGCTCGTGACCCTGTCCACGGACGCGGAATGGGCCCCACACGTCCATGTAAAGCGTCTGCAACGGGGCCTCTGTCGGAGGAAACTGGGAGGAGTGAGGGGCAGCACGCTGGCGCCCCTCGACACAGAGGACATAGGTAGGGCCAGGGCCCTGAGGAAGGGGAGGGAGGGACCGGGGGAGACCAGAAACAAGAAGACGGGAGGCCATGCCTCTGAGCCGAAGCAGAGAGGGGTGACCAAGGCGGTGGTGCCAAAGGAGAGTCTTGTGAGACAGGAGACGACATAAACAGGGGGCAAACTCTGGACCAGACCTGGACGCTGCAGCAAACACCTGACCCGATGTAGCTACCCTACCAGACTCAGCAACTGGAGGAGACGCAGTGGTCAGTGTGTACAGGCTCGACCCCGGCTGACGGATGAACGTAGCCAGGTGTCGGCCTGTGCTAGCCTCTGTGCAGTGCGTCACCCGCTGACGTGCAGGAGTGAACTGGTGGACTCCCCCATCCTGTAGGTCACCACCACTCACCAGGTTCATAGAGAACGAGGGGAGGTAGAGACCAGACAGGGTGCCAGTGGGAGCCGCCGGACACGGGAGGACTGTGGAGAAGTGAGACAGGACAGGACCCCTAGAGGGGTCAGCCAGAGACACCGCAACCGGCCGACTAAGCGGCGTGAGTGTGGTGCGGTCCCGAAAGAAGGAGCGAGACGCCCCTGAGTCAAGGGTGAAGGTGAGGGAGGCCGAAGCCGACGTAGTACCTGAGAGCGCAGACTCACCAGTACCTGAGGACGCAGACGCACTAGCACCTAGAGCAGCAGAGTTGCAAGCACCTAGGGCAGCCGCCTCACCAGTACCTAGAGCAGCAGTCTCAATGCCCGGATCGGGCGGGAAACACCGGTAACAGTCACCCTCATCACTAATAGTCACAGCATACATGGCAGAAAGAATAGCATAAAAAACAAGAACATAGATGGCAACTCCCGCTCAAGACAGCTCGCCCCATCGAGGGATCTCTGTGGCCTCCGGGAACTGGTGACGCCACGCGTCCGTCAGGCGGCCAAAGCAGCGCTGGGTGAGGTGCGCACCCCCACACTGCTCACCCGCACGGTCGCCGGTGCGCAGGACGTAGGTGCACGGACCAAAACCCCCACCCCGCTGGCGTGCAGCGTACCACTCACGGAGCTGTTGAGGGGACAGGGTCTCACGACCGCGCTGCTGCTGCTGGCGCGGACCACCACCGGAGCCACTCCTCTGCGTAGACCCGCGACCAGCTCCACCGCCACCCCCGCCGCCTTCGCCGCCTCCGCCACCACCGCCGCCTCCGCCACCACCGCCACCTCCGCTACCACCGCCGCCTCCGCTCGCTCCGCCACCGCCGCCGCCTCCGCTTCCACTGCTGCCACCGGTACCCCCACCCCCGCCACCACTCCCACCACCACCCCCACTCCCTCCGCTGCCTCCACCGCCGCCTCCACCGCCCCCGCCAGCTCCTCCAGCGCCCTTGCCCCCCTTGCCCTTGCCTGTGCGGCGCTTCCCCGAAGGGGCAACGAGGTCGCCGCAATAGCAGAGGCAACAGAGGGCAAGAGGGGGGAGGGAGAGCACCCCTCAAAGACAGGGGTGCGGGGGTCACCACGAGAGGCTCCTACAGCGACTATGCTCTTCTCCGCCGCTAGGAGGGCCTTCTCGAGGAGATCAACGGTGAGAGTGGTGGGGCACACTGCGAGGAAGTGGTCCCTGACTACTCGAAGGGAGTCAGGGGGTCGGGTGACAATGTAGTAGAGGGTGATGTACATGGAGGGGGGGGGTTCTTGGCGCAGAAGTCAGCAGGAAGCGCAGCGCGGTAGCGAGTGTCACTAGTGCGGAGGTGCGTAGTGAGGTCAGCGACTGTGGGAAAGGCAGCAAGGTCAGGGAAGAGGTACGGTAGCATGAGACGGCTCAGTGCAGCAGTGGCAGGGTAGGAGTAGCGTGCAACTACAGCGTCGTACAAGGTCTGAGCACTCTTGTAATGACTAAAGTGGTAGGGGTAGCCATGACTATAGTAGACTAGCAGTGCAAACAGTAGGGAAAGGGCAGTGCAGTGACAGAGGCGCGGCGCTCACCGGACGGGGCTGCTCGGGCGGCTCGGTGGTAGGGCGGCTCGGCAACTCGGCGGCTCGGCTGCTGGGCTGCTCGGCGGCTCGGCTGCAGGGCTGCTGGGTGGCTCGGCGGCTCGGCGGAAGGTCGGCTCGGCTGCTGGGCGACTGGGCGGCTCGGCTGCAGTGCGGCTCGGCGGCTGGGCGGCTCGGCTGCTCTGCCGCTGGGCGGCTCGGTTGTGCTGCTGCAGGGCGGCGCGGCGGTCGGCTGCTCGGGTGGGTGAGGCGGCTCGGGCGGCTCGGGTGGCGGGCGGCGCTGCAGCAGGTGACGGGACCGAAGATAAGGGCGGCTGGGCCGCAGGTTAGGGCGGCGGGGCCGTAGTTAGGGTGGCGGGGCCGCAGGTAAGGCGGCGGGGCCGCAGGTAGGGTGGCGGGGCCGCTGGTAGGGTGGCGGGGCCGCAGGTAAGGTGGCGGGGCCGCAAGTAAGGTGGTGGGGCCGCAGGTAAGGCGGCGAAGCCGCAGGTAGGGTGGCGGGGCCATTGGTAGGGTGGTGGGGCCGCAGGTAGGGTGGCGGGGCCGCTGGTAGGGTGGCGGGGCCGCAGGTAAGGTGGCGGGGCCGCAGGTAAGGTGGCGGGGCCGCAGGTAAGGTGGCGGGGCCGTAGGTAAGGTGGCGAAGCCGCGGGTAAGGCGGCGGAGCCACGGGTAGGGTGGTGGGACCGCAGGTAAGGCTGCGGAGCCGCGGGTAGGGTGGCGGGGCCGCAGGTAAGGTGGCGGGGCCGCAGCAAAGGGCTGCGCAAGGGGCCGCGGAGGACGGCGGCGCGTCGTACGGGCGGCACGCGACGCCGCGAAGGGCGGCGATGGGCCGGTACAGGCGGCGACGAGCCGGTACGGGCGGCGACGGGCCAATACGGGCGGCGACGGGCCGGGACGGGCGGCGCAAGGGCGGCGACGGGCCGCGTAGGGTTGCGACGGGCCGCTAAGGGCGGCGACGGGCCGAGCAAGGGCGGCGCAAGGGAGGCCGCTAGGGGCGACGCGACGGGGCCGAAGGAGGCCTAGGAAGGGCACGATGTGGGCCTAAGCGAGGCGCGCTCCGGGCAGGAAAAAAACTTCGATTTTGGTGGGCCCTAAGAACAGTTCTCACGAGGGAACCTGCTCGATACCATGAGAAGAAACGAGAATGAATCAACTATGAATGAAGTAGGTACAAGTACTAACCCTAGTTGGGTTGTACCCCCTATGGGATACCCCACTACAGCCTACACAAATGTATAAGCTATATAATGTTCTGACAAAAACATATCAATACATGTTGCTCTATAAAGTCCAAATATGCAATACATTTTTAGACAACTATTTTTCCATATACAAACAATACAACCAGTTTTACTCATAACATCTATTCTATTAATGGATCATATTGCTTACTAAGATTACTTCTGCAGTCTTCGCAATGCTATAGTAGAACACTTAGATTGGATATATTGCCGATGGTTCTGCAAGAAAACGAACAGAAGAAACATAATATGTTTCACAAGAAACAATATTTCAATAACAATTTTTCAATTTTATTATATTGCTAAAACATTTAGTCCATAAAAATACCTACTAAAATTCACCAAACATTCTTCAATTTACATTTGACCCTTAACCCCAAACTCTGATACACTTTCATATGAATCGACACAAACAAAAAAACATATAATATTGGCATAAAGAAAATACAGCACATCTCATACGCTCAAAACCCTCCAATATTGATGATACAAAATTACGTACTTGAATTGCAGAGCGCTCAAGATCAGCAACTTAACAATGTGAGAGCCAGAAATTGTCAATGGATCTGAAAGAAACAACATCAAACAAGAAAAAAAAAATATGTATTATACAAGTTCATGTTCCGAAGAACTACACACGTGCTATAGCATTTGTAATACATAGTTGCACTTGCAAATCTCACATTTGTATACACACTCTGAAATCTGACAAGACATTGAACAACAGACTTAAAAAAATCATACAATAATGGAATCATATAACATCTTGTATATGCAGAGAAAAGTTGAAACAAAACAAGCATTTAAAAGTTGAAAGGCAAATGAAGATTTGCAAAGTTCATCCCAACCAATTAAGAGAAGAATTCTCTGACGATAACACACACATTGGTACCTTAAGGGTTCAGAAATTACAAATCCGCCTATAAGTGAAAGATACTAGCATCCAATTCTTGTAGTCTGCACAAGCAATAAGCAATGAACACACAGCAAACAGAGAATAACCACCCATGCAACAAAGTTAAAATTAAACCACCAAGAAACAACTATCAAGGACATCCCAATAGAACACAAATAACAAAACATACCATTAGGAAAGCCAGCAACATAAAAATCGATACAGAAAACAAAAGAACAATTAAAAGCGAGATGGCGCTAAAATATGAAGTCCCAAAAATCGATACAAAAAACAAAAGATCAAACAAAAGCGAGAGGGGAGGGGCAGAGAGGGGAGGGCAAGAGAGGGGAGGGGCAGAGAGGGGAGGGCAAGAGAGGGGAGGGGCAGAGAGGGGAGGAGCGGAGAGGGGAGGAGTGGAGAGGGGAGGAGCGGAGAGGGGAGGCGCAAGAGAAGGGTTGGGAGGTGAAAGGGAAGAAGAGGGAGCAGAAAGAGGCATGGAGGGAGCGAGGGAAGGAGACATGGAGGGAGGGAGAGAGGGAGGCATGGAGGGGGGGAATAGCTGAAGTGAGACACTCATGGTGGTTTCGTGTGTCAGGGAAGTGGGAGGGGCAGAGGAGGGTGCAGCCATCGGTGGGGGCAGAGCAGCAGCAGCAACTGCAGCCGCAGCAGCAGACGCAGCGGGTGCACCCGTGGTGGGGGGAAGGGCAGTGTTAAATTCTGAAAGGGGAGTGGTTGGTGGGAGAGAGTGAGCGAGGAAGTGTGTGGGAGGGGCTACTGGGGGAGGGGCAGGATAAGGATCAGAAGGATCAAATGCAGGGGATGCATGGTGTGCAGCAGTAGCGGGGATGGTGGGGTTGAGAGTAGTGGTGAGGGCGATAGAGGCGGAGGAGGAGGAGGAGGTGGAGTGTGCAATGGGGGCGGGTTGAAAGGGGACTGGGAGGGATGCAGGGGCAATGGTGGCAGGCGGAGGTGCAGGAGAGGGCGCTAGTTGTGGGGGTATGGAGTGGAAAGGAGGAGGAGCAGCAGCAGCAGCGACAGAGGCGGCGGCGGCAGCAGCAGATGAATCTCCAGCCGAAGCAGCAGCATCTGAGGTAAGAACAGGTGTTGGGGAAGCAACGACAGGTGCTGCTGCACCGCCGGTCGCAGTGACAGCAGATGCAGCCGTAGCTGCAGCAGTGACAGAAGCAGCGACGGCACCAGCAGCGCTGGTGGTGGTACTACCAGTAACGATTGCAGCAGGCACAGGAGCAGGCATTGAACCAGGCACGGGAGCATGCACGGGAGCAACAGCAATGCGGCTTGCGTTCGAACCATAATTCCCACCTGCACCGCCCAGAACCCCCTCTCCTTGCACGCACTGCCCCCCCTCTTGACCCTGTGATGCCTCATCCACCGCACGCTGTGGCAAATACGGGTGCTGGGAAAGCAGAGAGCGAGGCGGAGGGATGGCAAGAGGTGCTGCAGGGGAGGCGTAAGAGGGGGATGAGGTGGGGGACGAGTGCAGGGCTGAGCGGAGGAGGGAGAGGGCGGAGGCAGCTCAGGAGGCGATGAGGCGCACGCACAGGAGAGTGGCTGCGAGGGAGGTGAGGGAGGAGCGCGCGGAGAGGAGGAGATGATCCTCGGAGGAGAGGGCTGCACACATCTGGAGGGGGGAGAGGGGGAGGAGGGGGAGGGGAGGGAGTGAGATGAGAGGGGAGGGAAGGAGGGATGGAGGAAAGGAAGGGAAGAGTTTTATAGCGGAGGAGAGGGAGGAGGTGGAAGGGATGGAAGGGAGAGAAGCAGGTGTGGCAGCAGCTTCAGCTGCCGCCCACCACCTCCTCTCCTCTCATAGTCCCTCCTCCTCCTCACTTGCCCTCTGTGAAAGCCTCTAGTTTTGCTAATATTTGTGAACTGTGAACTGCTGCTTGTTGTGCTGATCATACCCCACTTTGACTATGGGGGTGTGTCAGAATGTGTAGTTTGTCTAGCCTGTAGTGGGGTACTCTATAGCGAGTACAACCCAATTAGGGTTTCCTATATGTAACTCAACTGCTGCTAGTGCAAATCATCATTCCTGTTCTATCATTCCTACTGCTAGATTCTAACAAACGCAATCACAGCAAAAGAAACAGCTCGCCTATTCATCACCTCCGTCGTTCGATTGCACTTGATACCAGCAGCGATCAACAGCGACTAAGACATGAAATTCACCAGCAACTTCTCGCGGAACCTATGGCAGCAGTTCGGCATGCGACTACAGTTCAGTTCTTCGTACCACCCCAAAACTGACGGACAGATAGAAAGAACAAATCAGACCATGGGAGCAACTCATCCGAGCCACGTGCGACAACCCAACCACCTGGGAACAACAGCTGCCACTCATCGAGTTCGCGTACAACAACTCGCCTTCCGCCACGACCCAACAGTCACCATTTTACCTGAATTAAGGACAAGACCCAACAGTACCCATGACCCCGAATCCCAACAACCCAGTGCCACGAGCGCAACAGTTCGCCGAAATATTACAAGCAGCACAGACCTGGGCAGCAAACGCAATTAAAAAATCGAACATCATCGCTAAACGCAACACCGATCGCCACCACCGACCTGTCACTTACCAGCCCGACGACCTAGTCTTACTCGACACCCAGAACCTCCACCTACCCATTACTCCAAAACTCCGCCCTCGATATTGTGGGCCATTCCGCATCAGCCACATGATCACACCCGCCACCACCCATCAGTCATATTTGATATTACTAAGCACTCCTCGCCGCAGCAAAAGGAACACGCAATACCGGAAATGAACGCGAAGCGTCAGACGCTTGGAACTGAATCGAAGCGTCGAACGGTTACAGGATATCTGGACCGTCAGAGGAGACAGCACCGGGCAGCTGCAGGCAGGATGGTTTTGGCGGGAACAGTTACGAAACTGTATGAGCCGCACAGTTAAGAATATATCTGAATAAGGGAATGTACCACTTAGAGTACATGGCTAGCTAGGTCGTTTCGACTCCCCTGTACTCATATTTATATTTCCTGTACCTGCATGTTTTGATCATCTCAAGCATTTTACATTCACTCTGCCATTTGAGATCAAGGGCCCACCAACACTACCTTTCTTTAAGCGAACCTTCCAGAGCAGATCCTGGGCTACGATCAACTTCTGATCGCAGCACTTATAACTTTCCAAAACAATGCAAAAAAACTTGAGTAATCAAGCTGGACCCAACTAGAACGGGGGGGTCACTATTTTAGCTACGGGCTTTAATGATGGTGGGAGATACATCGATAATGGAAGTTGACGATACGCTGAAATTAACATGGTAATTAACTTGAAGGTAACACGGCCTTGGGAATGCATGGCTGAGCCTGATGCTTCTCGCCTGATAACTGGAGAGACTGAGGTCAGCATAAATTACCAGACTTCCATTTCGAATGTTAAAGACGATACTGTTAAGAAGATCAGAACTCGGCGTGCATTGTAGCGAGGACGTTGACTTGTTCAAGCTCGTCAGAATCCATGGCCGCCAGATGGCGGAGAAGGTGGAGAGGCTTGCAGGCAAGGCTTTCGTGGTGTGTGATGGACCCGATAGAGCTGTTACAATCCTCGCCGTGGTGTGATCCTTCAGAATCTGGTGTGTTTTATGGAGTGCTTGTAATGATGTATTGAGCCCATATGTAAGGCGTTTTTTCAGTTTTACACATCTGATTCCACCGCGTACAACACCGTTCATGGGCTAAACTTTTCTTTGCCAACTTTCCATTCCTCTTCACTTCTCCACAAACCATGCCACTCCAACGCGTTCCTCCTCACAACACTCCCATTTGTGCGGGGTGAACTTGGGTCCGAAGGGTGGGAACACCCCCAGACCATTCCATCCGAACCGAGCCAGGGTCCGGACGTCAGTATGGTTACGAGTTTCGCAAATGCTCGTAAGAGGACTGGCAGAATTTTGGCGATGTCGCCGTCATCCGGACCTTAGGGCGTGGAAGATCCCTACGAACATGTGTTTGGTTGCTCCTGTGGTCGAACATCTGGCTTCGTCAATGGCTTGCGACATCTTTCGCTGGGTAACACATGAAACCCCACATTGCAAATCAGAGAGGTTTTAAGGTTTCGTAAGGGGCCTTAGTCGCTTTCAAGCGAAGAAATATGAGTTCGTCAATCACTCGAAGCAAATTGGATTGCACCACATCCCCCACGACAACACCTGGTTTCATGTCGCGTGATTCTTCTTACGTCGCCAATCTTGGTCTTCCCCTCGTGGACCCAAAAACGTGGGGCAACAAGGGGGCACGGGCTCTGAAATGTGAGTGATTCTAGCAATTTCGTCACTCTATTAACGATGTTTAATGGCGAGAGTCGCAACCTGTGTTACTGTCGCAACTGCGCGACCAATGCCTTGTTCACAGGAATCTTCCACGCCCTTAGATAGTGAGGGCGTGTACAGTTTGTTCATTTCGGGGTTTTTAGTGCCAACACACGTCTCGAGGTTCAAAAAAATTCACTGTACCTATAAACGAATGCATTGTGAGTTGAGTCCCACCTACCTGTAATTTTAGGAGCGCGGACACGTTCTCCGCCACACGAATCAACAGTGCTCTGATCGGGTTCGAAATGAGGTAACGGTTTCCCTCGTCAATCATAGCTAACGAATTTTTGTGCAGGCGGGGGGGGGGGGGGGGGGGTGTTGGCGAGTGTAGCGAGCTACTGGCGAAATTGTGCAAGCGATACATGGGGCACTACTGTAGTGGCCATGACGCGGTTCCGTACCCTTGTTCGTGTCCCCACTGATTCCAGTAACGTGACTCAAACGACTCGAGGTACGTGCAAGTGGCATGCCGTTTTGTGAACGAAAGCTGATTGTGTCCGCAGGACACGTTCAATACAGTGTTACAACAAAAAATGTGGTAACTGAGCGTGTCAGATTATAATGCATGTCTAGTCTGTAGTGGGGTATTCAAAAGTGAGTATAACTCTTTTAGGGCTTACTACTTGTATCCCCCTCCTTTTCTAGTCATCAACATTCCCCTTCTCAACTTTCTCAACACTTCAACCCTAAAACCTAAGTTCCTAAGCCACTATAACCATGGCTCCTAAGCCTAAGTCACTCTAGAATTTAAACATGCTATCAGAGCTTAACGCTCCTGGCCTGTGGGCCCGCTTGCTTCCGCTGCCCTACTGTGTGTCGCGCGCCCCGTGGCGCGTGACATCCTATTTTTCGTCACGCCACACGCTCGGAACGCGTGGCGGTTTTCTGCCCGCCGTGCGCCCCGAGGCGCGCGGCGGGTTCCTACCTCGTCACGGCGTCCTGGTGGCCCGTGCACTGGCCCCGACCGTCGCCTCGTCGCGGCGTTTTGGGGGCCCGCACGCAAGCCCCTCCCGTCGCCTCGTCGCGGCACTTTCGGGGCCCGCGAGCCGGCCCCTCCCGTTGCCTCGTCGCGGCGCTTTAGGGGCCTGCGCGCCGTCCCCTCCCGACGCCCGTCGAGGCACTTTCAGGGGCCTGCGCGGCTCCCTAGCACGTCGCCTGTCAGGGCACCCTGGGGGCCGCGCCCTTCCCCTCCCCTCCTTCCAACTTTCCGCTGCAGCAGCAGCCCCTGGAGCAGCCGCCCCAGCAGCTGCGGCCCCTGGAGCAGCCGCCCCAGCAGCAGCAGCAGCCCCTAGGGCCGCCGCCACTACAGCAGCCGCCCCAGCAGCAGCCCCTAGAGCAGCCGCCCCAGCAGCAACAGCCCCTGGAGCAGCCGCCCTAGCAGCAGCAGCCCCTGGAGCAGCCGCCCCAGTAGCAGCGGCCCCTGGAGCAGCCGCCCCAGCAGCAGCAGCCCCTGGAGCCGCCGCCACTGCAGCAGCCGCCCCAACAGTAGCCCATGGAGCCGCCGCCACTGCAGCAGCCGCCCCAACAGCAGCCCCTGGAGCAGCAGCAGCAGCCCCTGGAGCAGCCGCCGCTGCAGTAGCCGCCCCTGGCCCCTGCAGCAGCCGCTCCTGGACCCGGTGCAGCCGTGGGGGGGTGGGTGTGGGGGTGGTGGTTGTGGGGGTGTCGGTTGTGAGTGCCGTCCCCTCCTCCTCCTCCTCCTCCTCTTTCGTCTCCCACTGCTGTAGCTATCGCTGAGGGGGGTGGATGTGTGGGAGTCTGGGGTTTAGGGTTTAAGGGGGTGCTGTGGGTGTAGGGCTAGGGTTTGAGCAGGGGGTGTGTGAGAAGGAAGTTGGGCAGGTGGGGGAGGTTGAGTGGAGGCAGCAGTCTTGTCGTCAGCAACAGCAGCAGTCCGGAGGCTACAATCTCCGGTAGTCGCCTGTCGCCTGTGGGTCAGTTGCTCCTGCCGCTCGTCTATAGCCGCGGAGCCAGTTACTACTGTAGTCCGGGCCTTTGCTTCGGTAGCCACTGAGCCAGCAGCCCGTCTGTGTGTCTGCAGCGTCAGCAGTCGCCTCCCATCTTCTCTCCCCCACAGTCTCTCCTCCTCCTCACTTGCCCTCTGTGATTAGCTCTAGCCTTACTTACCTATTGTAAACTCTTGCTCTATGCCTGCATGCTGTACTGATTATACCCCACTTTGACTATGGGGGTGTGTCAGATTATAATGCATGTCTAGTCTGTAGTGGGGTACTCAAAAGTGAGTATAACCCTTCTAGGGCTTACTACTTGTATCCACCTCCTTTTCTAGTCATCAACATTCCCCTTCTCAACTTTCTCGACCCTTCAACCCTAAAACCTAAATTCCTAAGCCACTATAACCATGGCTCCTAAGCCTAAGTCACTCTAGAATTTAAACAGAGCGGGCTTACGAATAGTAAATGTACGAGCTGGACACCCCCTGACATGACAATGAATGGGCCCTTACTGTGAGGTGTCTGACTTTTCCTCCAATAAATCCTTGTGAGGCGATTCTTCATCCCAGTCGTTTTTGCTTTCGCACACAGCCAGGAAACGCCCAATCGCATCGGAACCTATACTTGAATGTCAAACAACATGCCATCCAGTGGCTTGATGTTTGATAGGCATCGCTGGGAGTTTTTTCGCGATGCCTGGGATTGGCGTGTTGCAATACACACTTACAGCGTGTCACCTGCAGGTTGATTTCGACATTCCACGCAGCATCATTCACAGCCCCAGGTTTCACTCCACAATCAAACTCGCCATTTCCCAAAGCGCGCAACTGCTGTACATAGCCGATTGCGTGATAAGGGTTCGATACGTTTTTTTCTCCAGGTCGAGATTTTCGGGTTGTTCTAAAACAATTGTGAATGAATCGAGGTGTGACTATTCTTCATAGAGGGACTCGTCATTGTAGCATAGCACCCCACTTAACAGATTAAGAATTAACTGAGATGAAACGAGAATGAATGACTAAGGAATGAAAGTGATACAAGTATGCAACCCTAGAATTGTGTACCCCATATAGGCTACCCCACTACAGCCTACACAACATTATAATTTGACACACCCCCATAGGCAAAGTGGGGGAGAACAAGGGGTCATAAGACCAGTCAAGCAAAGCAAAACAAGCTCAGGGTGGATCACAAAGTACATATATATATATAGAAGGCTAGACAAGCAAGAGCAGGTGTATATATATGTAACAGTACAAGCAAGGTCAAGAGGTGAGCAAGTGAGGCAAGACTGGCACAAGACCAAGCTGAGTACAGAAGCGCTGATGATCACAAGGCGCAAGTACCTTGGTGAAGATATCAGCAGTGTTGGCCTCACATGCCACGTACGCAAGATGCAGCTGACCACACTGCTGCAGCTCACGAACTAGGAAGTAGCGAAGAGCAATGTGCTTCGTTCTGTGCTCCAGTCTCTGCTCTCGACACAAGGCCAGCATGGCCTTGTTGTCTACGTACATCACTGGAGGAGAACAAGGCACCTCGCCAAGGTCAGTCAGCAGGTAGGTGAGCCAGCAAAGCTCCTGTGCAGCCATGGCCCCAGCGTAGATCTCAGCCTCACAACTGGAGCCGAGAACAGAAGACGAGCGGGTAGCCCGCCACGAAACAGAGCCGGAACCAAGGCTGAAGGTGAAACCCTGTGACGACCGCTGCGTAGCCTGGTCGTCCGCCCAAGAAGCGTCTGCGTGCCCAGTGAGGACCACTGGACTCCGCCCTCCAAGCACAAGCCCCATGCCTGACGTACTGCACAAGTAGTGCAACACCCTCTTCGCTGCAGCCATGTGCTGCGGTCTGTCTCTCCCAGGAGCAACATAGCGTGCGAGAATGCTAAGAGGGTATGCAAGGTCGGGTCGAGTGCAGGTCATCACGTACATGAGGCAGCCAACAAGCTCTGGGTACGGGCCACTCGACTCTACGGACTCATCCGAAGGCAGAGCTGAGAGCGAGTGGCAAGTAGGTAGAGGAGTGGCCTGAGGCGAGGA